ACAAACAAACTAAAATAAAAACAAAGAAACACAAAAATAACGTGGGAGTCGGTGACCGGAAGTTCGGTGGTCCCGCGCGATCGGTTGGTCGGTCGATGGAAATAAGGCGTTACCTGTAAGTGTGGAGTTGTTAATGGTGTTGTTTGCCGTGGAAATAGCCGATTGACTGGTGACAGGTGTGCCAACGGTGGTGGCCGTGGTTGTCGAGGAGTTATTTGGCGAGAGGGCCGCATTGGCGGCCTGCGCCTGTACCTGGGCCTGGGCCTGAGCCTGAGCCTGAGCCTGCTGTTGAAGATTATAATTCCACGCGAGCAGCATCAGCTTCACCTTATCCGCGTCTTTCATGAGCGCGCCTGCCGAAATTAAAAGTGCCAATTGGTCTCAGGGCATGATTAACACGCTGGTTTTTTTTTGTGTGCCAAACATTGTGCGAAAGGGTGGCTTTAGGGGGGTTGGCAGGGGTGGGCAAGTGGAAAGAAAGAAGTATGACTATTGATTCTTTGCGCGACTAGCCTGATAAAGGGATTTTCCAATTGGAGTTGGTGTCTTTCTTTTTCCACTTTTTGGACCATGTTGACGAATCATGTTGGTGCTACTATGAGATTATGTGATCGATTAGATTACGATAATTACGGTAATTGCTTTTCTCAAAGCGCGATTCGGCTAGTGAGAGTGATTCGATAATTTTGTCGGGGGATGATTCGAAACAAATTTCGTTTGAAATGGACGTGAATGATAACACCGGAAAGTGATGTGAAGTTGCGGAGGTGGTCTGGAGTGTACGGTTGGTAAAGTATTAGTGATGGAGCAGAATTTGCGTAATGGTATTACGAGATATGGTGGTTTTATTTCTTTTGAATGACATTTAGCGAGATTTGTGATTGTTATTTGGAACGAACTGTAGTTTTGTATACATATATATATATGATACTAGCGATGATACGTGGAAAAATGATCGGGGAGGGTATTATAGCAATGCGGAATCTTTGCAAATAAATTAAATGAAAATGTAAGAGGTTTAAAAACAGTAGAGAAATTAAATTTTTAACAGGTAATTAAGTGAAATGAGCATTCCGTAATGATGATCGAATATTATTTGTGCAATAATAATAATCACTTGTTTCTATTGCACGTTATTTACTTTTTACTCGTAATCAACAAACTAAATATAACTCAATGAGTAACTATTAATTAACTCTAAACTTTAGTAAATTTTCATTAATTCCAGAATGTAAATTTCATTGTATATATTTTGTGGAAAACATCATACATCAAACACTTTTATAACAAGGTTCTGCTGCATCTTAAACTCAGTAAAACACAATAACATAAAATAGGCTTTCAAGGATCTGTACTTATACACAGATATTATTCACAAATACATAAATTTTAGACATACTCTGAAGTTGCGTCGACATCTGTGCTTTGACAATAATTTAAAAAGACCTCAATAGAATCTTGAATAATGAAAAGGTATCTTATCTATGTCGATGTCAACGAGTTTTCTCGGTCGATGAACGTTCCCGTCTTCAAACGATCCACATTCGACGGCGCAACAGGTCCAGCTATCAAAATTCGTTGGCGCGCGTCGAATTCTCAAGCTCAATCGCGTGTAAATAATTTCGTTACCAATCGCGATCTAACATATCTCCCGAATTCTCATCTCCATATACACCAATAATAATTTTGTTAATGAAACGAATGTAATAACAGATTGTCAAATAATCTATGAAAGCTTTAATCCGAATGAACACATCAGATTTTCTGATAAAACGTGCTAATTGATTCTTACCGCTCGGCCATATAACACCGAGCTATCAGCGACAAGAATCACTTAACCACTGGGAACAAGGGAATTCAGTATTCAAAGTCAGACATGAATAAAGATGCCATTCTGTAATTATACTATACTTCGCGACACCATATTCCTTTATCGTCGCTCTAGAGACACAGACTGCATAATTACCATTATATATTTCACTTACACTATTTTACATTACAAAATAAAAATTTTTTTATCAAAAAAATTACTAAGTTTCTTTTTATAAAATAATTTTCGAACTCTTACACCAATTTCAAGTATCTTTATTCATTGTACTTCTCTTTTATTTCGCATTTTAAATTACAAATTTACAACTGAAATTAACCACGTCGACAATTATCTTTAATTCCGTTCTCATTTAATTGATTGCATGAGAATTAATTGATTCTGAAGCTTTCTTCCACTTATTTTCTTACGTACTTTAGTTTCTTTATCACACGTATTCGTCGTTTATGCAATATTCATAGCACTTTCGGCTGTACCGTTCATTACTAAACACCTCGCGTTTCCGCCAACTTGGATGCCTTCTACGAGCAGCGATAAAAATGGAGGTGGGAAAGTGTTGCATAAATGAAGCGGCACAGGGGCGTGGTAAACATGGCGCACAAGTGCGACAGCGAGTTTGTCGAGTGTCAATTAAAACCTCATGCCCAATGGGTACGATCCCCCATCCCTATTGTGCACGCACTCGATCATCGATCCCGTTTCGTCTAGTACGGGTAAAGACTCTCTTGTTTTTTCCTGGTAGGAAATTGTAGCGCAGCTGAGTTTAACGAAGAAATCAGTTTAGCTGACACAAATCATTCCTGTTGCCACCATACAACTTGATAGAAAAAATTTGAACCCACTGCTGGGGCTGAGTAACAGTGCTGCGAAAACGATGACAGCTCAAAATGTACTGCGTGGTAGAGGAGAATTCGGAAAATTTCACATTAAATCGAATTTTTAAATTCTCGAAGTACCAGGTTTTAAATGAAGGTATACATTAAATGATAAAAGAAAATTCCGAAATTTCGATTAAATTTTACAATTTTTAAATTCTCGATGTGGAATCTAGTAAAAATTCGTGTCCTCTGTTATCCTTAAATTTTCTTTGACTTTTCACGTTAACCGCGTGTTACAACGTGATTATATTAAAAATTCACGAATGAGAAGACTTTTTAGTTTGACCACTAAAAATATTTCACAAAATTAGACGTTTCATTACAGAATTGTAGATAGTTTCAAGCGGTGAATAGAGAAGACTTGTTACTTCTGTTGGAAGTGAACGATAGTCATTGAACTGAATGCCAGAAGGAATAGTAGGAAGTATCAGTCGGACGCCATTTGGCATCGCGTCCGTCTCGGGAGGTGTTAAGATTCCGCTCGTTAGACGTTCCGCGCGTCGCGATCCGCCATAAGCAGATGCGGACGCGTAAAGAATGAAATCATCTGATCAAAAAGCCGCAGAATCAATTCGAAGGGGGACGCGATGGCGGCGCGAAGATCCTCGGCTGATTAATCAGTCGTTTCTCGGAATCGCGTGGCAACGTCATCGCGCAAAAGGCGCGAGTGCATCTCGCTCTTTTATGTAAGAGGCCGCGGTAACGAGATTACGAGGTTGAAGTGTCGGTGCATGTTAATAAATACATCGGTCATTCGTAACACCGATGGCGCCCAGGTCGCTTCTGTGAACGTTCTCGGCGATCGCACGATCATCATTCCGGTTCTCATGGAACTTACTCCTCGACAAATCGTGAATTTTATTTTAACCAGTTAACTGCGATTGATGAATATACATGTCATCTTAAAGCTTGAAATGATACTAATTTTTCCAACGATGAACTATTTAGTTTTTCAGATAAACATGTGATTTTTGTTTTGTTTTACTTTGGTTTGTCATTAAGACATACTCTAGGTGCATTCATCCAGCGTTTGAGGAATGCACACTTTATTTTTTGATTTTATTGCGCGCGATACGAGAGACTTTTCAAACTAAATTCCACAATTAACAAGTTAAACTGATTATAATATCTCTTTATATCCTTCACAAACTTGCTTCTACGGAGAATTTAATATATTTATTTTTCTAACAGAAATGGAACTTTTTTTATTTTCGTTTTTGAAAGAATTTTTTCATTAAAATCAATTCATTTCATGCTGGTTTTTCTTTTAAAGAAAAGTAAATTTGATTTTAACTTATATAATTGTAAATAGATTTTAAGAGAAAGTGTGATTTTGGAAAGAAATCGGGGGACTACGAAGCAGTAACTTCATTAGATTTTGATGGTGGATTATAGAAATAATTTAAATATATTACATGATGGATTAATTTAATACGAAGTAGTCACCACGCCTCTTTCACCCGATATACTGAACCCGTTTTCAGATGGTCAATATTGTGTTCACACCTTCCCAAATATATTTCTGCTAATTCTCCCATCGCGTACTCATATTATTATTTACAGAACTGCAACACGACCCGATAATTTTCGCATCGCAAATTTTCCAGTTGAGGTGAGAGCACCGAAAATTATATTCGCCAGTACTCCAAAAGTATAATTATTTCTCACCATTAAATGACATAAACTAATGCACAGATTGAACAAGTTCTGCGCGAAATATTAAATTCGTTACTTGACTAATCACAATAAAATCTCTATTATCAAATACCGTAGCTCTTAAACATGTACATTGATAACAAACATTGTTAACAATAGTCAAAATGTATACAATAATAAACATAGAAAGTAATATCTTAATAAATCTTGTATATAAAATGATAAAAAATCACAAATGCACAAGAACAGGTATACATAAATAAAGATAACACTTAACGTCAGGAAATAACAAATAAAATCCAAGTCCCCTTAGATAAAGGCAGGCCGAAAATCAACCAAAACAATCAATAACTAAGTGCCTAGGCAAGTATTATCACCAGTCCAGAAAGAGAAAACCAGAAACAAAACTCTCACCTAACCGTGCACCGGAGCGGCAGGTTTTCCTGCACGATCCGTGGGAAAGGGTTAATTCAAATCGCGACTCGTTGAAAAATCTGTCCTAGATTCCCGCGGCTGTCACGCCTGACTGAGAAGACGGATCAACAGAAATCAAGGAAAAACTGAACACCTGACCAAGTCGTGTCTCGTTGGGCCCGCTGATCGATACCCTCCCCCCTCTGGCGCCTGGCCGTAGCACCCTGACGCAAAACCTGAGCCACGATCGGTCGAGTATCTCGTCGGCTCTCCAGATTTTCCCTCCGGTTGCCGCGTTGATTCGTTCGAGCGGGAGAATTAGCAGTGACACGTAGAAGAGCACTCGAAACGAAAGTGATAGAAAGAGAGAAACGGAGGAAAAGAGAGAGACACAGAGGGTGCGAGAGAGCGAGAGACAGATTTATTAGCAACCGGATAAAGTTGGCGGGTGACTGGAGCGATGTGACATCTAAATCATTCAGCCGGCTCAATAATGCAGAAACACGACGCCGCCATTGGATTTGGGTCAGATTCCCGAAACGGCCGCGACCTGACCCCGTCCAAAGAACAACGAACACTAAATTGCGCGACGATGATGCACGACCCACGGCGATTCCAATCGATTAGCAATGGTCGGCTAATGAACGCGGAACGTTGTAGGTAGTGGGTTATACCTACGATCGGTTCTTCGTTTATTCAGGGCGTCGGTTTTTGCGGGGCCGGGTTTGACGCGGTCGGCGCCGATGACGTCTTTTTGCGTCACGTAAAATCTACGTATCCAATGATCGTTTTTATAGATTTTTGAAAACGTTCTTGTAGGGTCTGCGACGTTTCTTTTTCATGACAATTAGGTAGTTTGTGATCCTTAATATTTGGTCATTGGAAACCGTGGATGTTGGATGTTGATTTTTATCAAATGAATTGTAGGTTGGAATTGAAAATTTTGCTCGGTTTAGGAAAAGTTTCGTTGTATTCTGTAGAAAATAGATGTATTTGTCAACGTTTTACTGTTTTTGAAAGTCGGTTTAATAGATTTTGATTAGTATGAATATAGGAAATACGAAGTCCGTTAACAGATTGTCGTAGTATTAGTAGATACGTGAAACATTTATGAAGTGTCGGTGGCACTATACGGTGTCATTGCATCCGCAGGAATTTGATGAAACTGATACATGTTTGAAGCAACTTGAGGGCGTAATAGGGAAATAATGTTTACAGTTGGGAAAACAAATACGACATAGGATTGTTTATTTAACAACCGAGTCTGTGTTTCCGTTAATTCGCGAGCTGATTTCAAAATTTCGGTCGGTGATGTATGCATAAACGTGAACGTGCATTTGTAAACTCTGAAATATTCGTTGTGTGTTTATATTTAACATTTTGGTTATCGCTTAACCAATTTCATTGTAGCCATTGATAATTATTAATGGGTAATGAATTTAAATTTAATTTAAACGAATTTATATTGCATTACATACGACGGTTTGCATGGAATATTTGAGGTGAAATTATTATTCAAACTTTACCGCGAGATTTGTGGCAGCATTTGTACTTTAAAAACAACAACAAGGACATTTAATTTTGTGTGAAGTGGAAAAAAAAGTAACATACTCGTACACGTTATCAATGCGTGTAATCAACGGTTTTATCACGTTCAATAATTCACGAGTGTGACAAAAGTTTTAATCCAAGTATCCCAAAGTTAAATCACCCGTAATTTCAGAAAAATGATACTCCACGAGTGTTCGTGGAGTGAGGAAACTAAAGAAAAATGAAAATATGAAACTCGATTCATTAAATACATTTCGAAGTACGTGAATGTATCACAATAAAATAAAAAATATTATGACGTACATTTGCGTTCAAAAATTTGTAGCACTCTATGATATTAAAATTTCTGTTATTCTAATAATATATTTTTAGAGAATAAATATAACGTAATTATAAGGTTTTACTTCAAATTAGAGTTGACCAACTTAATTACCATAAAAGAATATTTTCATAACTTCATTCATGTTAAAGCTATTTATATCATTTATTTGAAGACGATATCAAGTTCGAAACTTTTAAGGGAAAATTTTTGAATAAAACTTTCCCTTTTACTTTGCGAAATCACCGAATTAAATTTCAATGACACCAAGTATTCTTTCGAATTCGAATTAGAATTCATCCCCGCCATTTGTTTCTGAGTTCACGAAAATCAAGTTCTCGTTATCAGGGAGAAAACATTGGAAACGCTAGTGGTATTAAGCAAGAAATGATATGGAAGAAATGGTAAACGAGACAAATTTGTAAATTTTAAACCGCGTTGCTTAAATGACAGCGAAAAGACCGCGGAAATGAATGTTTTTAATATCGATGGAAGTGAGGTTTAATATTCTCCAAGTAAAATATAAAACAAGAAAGTCTACGGAAGTGGGTGCGAAGAAATTGAATGTTTTGCTTACTCGAGTAATGATCTTCCTCCGAGATGTCTGCTGGTTCTGGAGTTGAAATATTTTCCTGGAACAAGATAAAAACGTGATTAACATTTCCATAAATCTGCCTCGAAGGAATTTCTTATGTAATTACTATATGTAACGCAAAACTGAATATTAAACAATCGCTCGAAGATATTCTTCTGTGATCGTGTAAATTGCTCAATAAGAACATAAAACATCCCTCAAAATTATATCAAAACAGCCTTTCTCATATATTCGTAGTTTCTTTATTAAAAATATTAGTACAATTGCATTACATTTTAAAATTACTTAAGTAACACATCAAATAGAAATACATGTTACAATCATTAAATCGCAGAAACCTGCAACAATAAAATGGAAAAAAACCAAACCTTACAAAATACCCAAGTGTATATAATTCACAGTAATCTTTTAAAGAAAACATATCATTAACGATACGAATAAAATATCTAAAGCTAAATGTAAGAACAAGTCAAATGCAGAATCTCTTTTCATTTAAGACTAAATGTCCAAAAAAATTCAATCAACGAACAATAGTCTTACATGAAAAAATTAGTTAACATATACAACATATTTCTTTCCATTTGAACCGAATACTTCACAGTATGAACAGGTTACGAAGGACGAACGCAATTCTCCAAATTTCTAATAATTCTCGAACAATTTCCCATGCCCGCGACCCGCTCGTCGAGCGTGTCCGAATTCAATGAACGAGGGTGTCGTGCGATAATTTCGAACAATTGCCCCGATTCCGCAAGTGGTCGACCATTGAAAAATTAACGCCGCGGCGTAGTCAGACGAAGTTATCAGCGCGCGCCGCGGTAAACCGTGCGCGGTGTATCCGACTCGTGTCATGGAATCGCGATTGTCTTCTCGATTGCGCCACAGAAAAACACCACAGCAGACTTTCCGTACACCCACGGAACGGCCGTGGACTTTATTGTCCCGGATCGAGAGCTGGAGAGCAAGCGCGGCTGCTTGCGGTTCGTCTGAACGCAAATTACTTACGCCTCGGCTCGGCGACGTGCCGTGGGAGACGGGATCGAGGCACGTCGAGAATCCCGGATCAATAGCGTAACCCGCGAGCACGCTCTCTGCAGGGAACCCAAACGCGACATCACCGGGACGTCCAGGCGTTAAACTCACCGACGATCGCCGACGTTGTTCTCGCTGGCTAGACACTGGCAGCCATTTTTCCTTTGTTGCTATTCCGTTTCGGCTCTAACGGAGATGTGGAAACCATGGGAGGAAAGTGGAAAGAAAAAAGGAAGGAGTAGTTTGTATTGAATAGGATAGCGGATTCATTGTTGAGGTTAGCTGGCAGAGCATGTCAGGGTCTGACTTTAGAAGTTGCTTTTTGCTAATGATCCTGAAGCATTGCTGATGTTAAACGCACTTCACGTGTTTATTTCTTTTGTAGTGAAATTTGAATATTTTTTACGTAGACTTTCTCTGTAGTAAAGTAAACGACATTAAAGTTTCATTTATGTTAGGCTATCAATCATTTAGGAAAATTCATGGGGTCTTTCAAGACTTGCTTCAAATGTTGAAAGTTAAAGGGACCAGCAGTACTCTTCCTGGAACCTCTAAACCCTTTGCAGACGAGGACATTTACAACCATCAATCTCTTCCACAGAATACTAAATTATACATTGAACTCTTAAATACTGAAACATAAGAGAACTATAAATTAATCTCTCATTACCTACATAATCAAATCCTTCGATTGCAACCTATCTTCTGTATACACAAACCTGATACAGCCATCAGTAGGACACTTGTCTCCGAAGGACTAAAAACGGCATACACCTAAAATCTTTAAGTAACTATCCAACACTTGATATTTACGGGTACGGCAAACGACAAAAGAGAGTGTCGAGATGTGTTTTGTTTGTAGCTTTAATTAATTATGTACCACATTGACAAACACCAGATCAGTATCGAAAATCACACGAGAAAGAATGAAAACTGTCCAATCAGACCCACATTCCTCAGCCTAGCCATCAAGTGGTAGACGGCCAATACGGCTGTCAAAGTGTTAATCGATCCGTCAAGTAAACGGCACTCCGACAGCGTCAGGTCTATCCGCGGAGGCAGGTGTTCGCGCGAACACGGTTCCCAGATGACGGGGATGAGATCATCGTTGGCCCGCTGAATCCGCGACGCGACATTGGTTCACGTCGGGCAACGGGTCCCCCGATGAAAACGCACGACCCGGTGTGTTTCGCAAGGCGTGCCACCGCGGCGCAGGCAATGCCTGGACCCGGCGGACTGATTGAGTGCGGCTCTCCTATCTGTGTCAGGTCTCGTGTTGCAACTGCAGAAGGTCGACCGGTATACACGGAGCACAGCCAATTGATACCGGCCGCAACTTTGTCCGGCGGTGTGTTGTAGGACGACGAGCGGCCGACTTGTGCGCGCATACCGCGCAAAAAGCGCCGGTGATGTAACCAAGAAATTCCGACGGTACCCGCCGCGCGCACGCGCGAACGCGACCTGGACGACCGTTCCGCGATTACGGCCAACCAAATTGGAGGGCTGAAGGATCCTGGAAGGTATAGTCCTACCGTGTTCCGTGTAGAATGAAAGGACGTTGTTTGAAAAATGTAGTCGAACCTTGGCAACTCGGACCTCTATAATTAGAAGACCTCTATAACTTGTAACATTTCTTCCTTTCCTTCCGCTCCACTGTGAAAGACTCTACAACTCGAAATACAAAGACTATAACTTGTATTATTTCCCTCGAGTTTTACCTCTGTAACTTGAATTTAGGAGATCAATCTCTACACGTCGAAATTTACATTCACATAAGCTAAAAGGTTTAAGAAACCTGTATAAGTTGAATTTTCGTTTGTTGAAGGTCTTTTACTTGAAAACTCAGTAAGACGAAACCTATATAAATCTAAGATTTTACAATATACAGAAGGCAAGAGGAAAGGTGAGGATTACCAATCCTTAGGGTAGACTCTGAGCAGGATGATTCAGGGATGCAATGTAGATTTATCCGAAAACAGTGAATCATTGTGTGCCTGCGGCAAGTCATAGATAAAATTAGTCACCAAATAATCCATCTACCACTCGATAGCTGGGCTGAGGAATGCGGGTTTAAGTGATCAGTTTTCATCTTTTCTTATCTTATTTTCGATAGTAATTTGCTGTTCGGCAATACAGTTATACGTAACCAACAAAACTATAAACAAAACACAAGACTAGTCACTCTTCTTACCTCTATGCTGAACAAATACTAGCACATTAACCGACTGTCGGATCTAAGGACCGTTTCTTCTCAAACCTGATGAACTAGCTGATATAAGTCAGGGATCCTGATAAATCTATCATCCAAAAGTTAACCACTAGGATTTGATTAGTTTGTAAGGAAATCTCACTCAATTCATTTTCGCGGCTTTTTGTCTTAACGGATTTTATGTGGAAAAGGTATATTTTCTTGAAATTTCATTTCGATATTCTTGAAATTGACGAAGATGTAGTCTCTGAAATGTTGGTTGGATGATATTGTCAGATGATTGTTATTTGGTTACTGGAAACTTGGCTCTTTGTTACCAGTATTATCATCATTATAAACGTTATTTTCTTTTATAATAAATATTGTGTATTAGTCCCATCTGTTAATACTAGAAATATATAAAATCAATTTTTATGTGGATAAAATTATTGAACAAAGAAAACAGATCCAACTAAGTGATCACCAAGATTTTTACATCCAAATAAACACGTAAACAACAATTGAGTTGTGAAAACACTGTCCCGTAAATATCACACGATTCTGCCTCGATAACTGAAATAATTGAAAAGTGAAATCACATCTGGCATAAAAGTTCGTCTCAATACTCAATGAAATCGATTGACTGGCTAGCCTTGCGACGCGACGCCATTAATAACGCGGCCGCGGAACATCGTGATTATAGGGACAGGTAATTTTACAGTTGAAAATTCTTAATTATACAATAATTCCTCGCTCTTCGTGTGCGTTTTGTCGTCGCGAAGTTCATTCATTAATCGTGTAATAAAACATAATCATGATTCTATTTTTCGAATTTCAAGCGATTACAATTAATCAATGAAGCTGGATCGGCATCCAGCTAGCCGTATCCTCTCGCTATAGGCAGTAATTATGCGATCAGGTTTTTGAATGTCAAAAAATCAAACGCGATTTATGTCCGAGCACTCCCTGGCGACTCGTCCGCTATCAGCGATAAGCATAACCGGTTACGTTGTTCAATCGATCAAGCAGCGGCTACAGCATTTCCCAATAAGAGTAATTCGTTTCGGTATTTTAATTGATTCAATCTCCGCGCGAGCCGCCGAGGCCGGAGGCTGCCGTGATTGAAACTCATACGCTTCCGGAAAATACGAGGCAAGCAAACGTTCGATTGAAAGGGGACATACCGGCGGATAAGGCGTTTCTTCGTCTAAGACATCATTATGATCCCTATAATAATTTCGCGCAGCTGACTTCTATTAATATTTCTTGAATCCTTTAATTCTAATATATTTCGATAACAAAGATGAAATATATCGATCTTCACTTATCTTCTATCGATAAACAGAATATTAAGGAATATAGTTTTGAGGTTAGGATAGTAATATCAAATTCATCTACAACATGTCCTACTGTTCTTAAGAAAGTTCGAAGGCAAATTTCACTTTGTCAAATTAAACCAAGTTAAATTAATTCATTTCTTAACACTCACAATTTGTTAATTCCATATTCATAAGCTACACAATCTTGATAGATCCTAAACATTCTTACTTTACCTAATTAATAGTGAACATAATCGCATATTTTATTCTCTGTCTACGAAACACGATTCACGTATAAAACCAAACACGCATCTTCGCATAGCAATTTCATTTTCCAATAACTCTACAATCTTTTATTAATCCTACTTTAGTGGGCCCTAAAACGTCCAGGAACCCTACCCTCGACGTTCGAAGTGGCTAACTTTAAATGGATCCTGAGCACGTTGCCTAAAACGGTGAACGTACAGAAAGGGTTCCAACACTGGGTACCGGGAAGCACGAACCAACACGAAGACATAACGACACTATAAGACCGTATACAAGGATCACCGGTTCAATCGAGAAGATCCCCAAGAAAGGTTCGGCGAATTCTAGACTGTGGTCGATTGCCGGTCCTAAACCGACTTGTAAATCATGTCGCCGGAGGCCTGGAGGTATCCTGAGGTCGTAGGTACTAATGAACAATGTCCTCTGGCTTTCTCTCTCGAGGCGCTCTACCTTCTCTCTTTCTCCCTGTCTCACCTACGCACGGGCCGCCCCACTTCCGGCGGATGTACCCTGATAAATGGGAATCTCGCTGAGCGCGCGACCAGTCGGCCGTATACACCTACGACGGCACACACGACGCCGAATGAGAAACGAGCCGGGAGCGGTGCCTCGTCTTCGAGGCCGGCAACAAGAAGCGCTGGAGAAAAATCAAGGAAAGGGCCCGGCTGCGCAATCGTCCATGCGCCGCTTAACTCTTATGCTACCAATCACAATGTTTTCATGTACCCGAACTGTGCTATTGCAATATATTTATATTAATCAAATGTTGGAAATGGACATTTACATGAAACCTTAAAAGGCAGTGGAGAATCGAAACTATTTTGATGAATTTCTACGGAATCGAAGTAAATTGTGTATTAGAAAGTTTAAAAATGGGCATCTGGGTATTTGGTTAGTAACATAATGGTCGAATAATCTTAATTATGTTTTTAGTTTCTTATTATGCACTTTTGTCACTTTTTATGCAAACAGAAAATATTCTTGCGAAATTAAACAAAGTGTGTATTATAGCAAGTAATTATTCCGGCGATCTTTCAGAATATTTCGTAACGGTAGTTATTGAATTTGAAAAATATGATATGTTATTTAAA